AAGTCTCCCATGACAACCATACACCGGAAGTGCGCGGCCTCAGCCAATTCCCTGGAAAACTCCTGGTCAAGATCTTGACCCTGGGTAGGGGGTCTGTAGTAGACTCCCGCCATAGTATCCCGTGCTGTGTTCTCCACAAATTTTAACCCAAAGGGTCTCAAGTCCACCATGGGTGTCAATGTCGGCTTGCAGGGATGTGTAGCTTTCCGTGACAGAGAGCTACGCCCCCACCCCTTTTGTCTACTCGATCCCTCCTGTACAGGGTATAGCTGTCTATACCTGTGGCCCAGTAATGGGTGGAGTCCCACCAGGTCTCCATTATCCCTATGACATCATAGTTATTTGAGTTTAGCAGGAGGACAACTTCCTACTGTTTGTTCCCCAAGCTCCTGGCATTTGTGTACAGGCAGGCAAGTGTCCCCTTGGGGGCCCTTGTCTTGCCTACAGTTCATTCCAGGGCTGGGGCAGGGGTGGGCTCTCTTAAGTGCCTTGGTCTGCTGGCTTTGCAAGGGTTGCTCAGCAGGCCAGCAGTGGCAGTAGTCCCCCCGTCCCCCGGTGGGTTTAGTTTAAAGCCCGGTGGAGCAAGTCAGCCAGTCTGGCTGAGAAAAGCCTCCTCCCCAGCGGAGAGAGGTGGAGGCCGTCCCTTCCCAGCAGCTTGCTGCCTCTCTCACCAAAAAGCGGGCTGTGGTCATGGAAGCCAAAGCCTTCCTGATGACACCAGTGCCTCAGTCTTTGGTTAACTATGAAAATATTAACTCCCAGGCAGATCCCTGAGTAACCTCCTTCCAGCCTGATATTTCCATTTTCAACACTGCATTTCAACATTGCATTTTTGTGTCCCCTTTGAGCAGTTTCTTCCCTACCTAACAATTCTTGTAATGCCTAACAATGTCTACAATGGGGAGGTCATAGGTGAAAACTGGCTTGGCAATAGCACTGCTGAGAAGGATGTGAGGGGTATGATAGGTCACAAACTCAATATGGGCCAGCAACGTGACATTTTTGTCACAAAACGAGCAAATGCAGCATTGAGTTGCATTAACAGAAGCATTGTAAGTAAGGCATGGGGTGATAGTACCAATCTATGTGATGCTGATTAAGCCTCAGCTGAACTAGTATGTCTAGTTTTGAACACTGCAGTTTAAAAGAATTTAAGGGAACTGGAGAAAATCCAAAGGCAAACAAAGATGACAAAGTCAAGCCATATGAGAAAAGGTGAAGGAAACAGAGATATATAGTCTGGAGGGGAAAAAAAGAAAATAGACAGGAACATGCTAACCATTTTTAAATATTTGAATGTCTGCCATAAAAAACACAGAGTTAAATTGTTTTTATTTGCCAAAGAGGGTAGCACATAACGAGATGATTTTAAACTTAAGAAAAGCAGATTTAGACTAAATCTCAGGAAAAATGTCCTAACTGTAAGAACAGTGGACAATGGAACAAGCTGCCTAAGGAACCTGTGGAATCTCCTTCATTAGAGGGATGTACCTATCCAGCCTTCAAGAAGAAGCTAAATAAGTACATGCCTGGGATAGTTTAGGAATAGTGCATCCTATGTCTATGCAAGGGGTTGGATTAGATAACCCTTGAGGTCCCTCCCAACCCTATTGTTCTATGATTCTCCCATTTAACTAATACTTGACCATGTGTCATTGAGTGTTTTACTGAAGTCCCAATGCATTCGGTTTCTTTACCAAGAAAATCAGGTATCTTTTCAAAGAAAGGTATCAGATCAATTTGACACAATCTACCTTTGGTAAACGTATGCTGAATTTTATTCTGTTTTCCCTTTACTTTTCATCTTTAATTATTCCTTCCTTCAACAGTTCTGATTCAGTTGCCATTAAATTTAAATGCAAAATTCCTGTTGATTTTATTCAGAGTATGATATGGTCCGGGGAATCTCATTTGTATATGCACTGAAGCACTCAGACCTTCTATAGATTTGCATATATTTATCAAATTGGAGGTTAAGGCAAGAAGAAATTCAGGCTCTTTAGCTGTAAGGTATTTCTGGCGATGAACAGTATGCACTGATGATGATATTAACTTTACCAGACAACCCTGAACATTTCTCCTTTCATCACCACATACATGGTGTTTAGGAGACCTAAACACCCATACAGTATACGTTCAAATCCTAAACAAAGTTAACTGAGTCCTTTCCCTGCATGGTGCATGCAGTTTCCAGTACAGAAATCTTTTAGAAAAGATCACAAAAATCATTGCTGCCTTTCTGATTTCACCATGCGTGATTGGCATCAGGTGGGTAGTATGTTCGTGGATATCCTTCCCAAAAAGCCCTGTGAAAGTGGTAGAGATATGCTCTGTATCTCCTTGAAGTCAATAGAAAAGTTCTCATTGATGTTAGTGATGACTAGTTATTGGCAGCCTTAGAATAATTTAAAACAAGGCTGTCCAACTTCAAAGCTGCCTCACAACCTGCATACCAGAGGTCCATACTAGTGGAGACCAGAGGTCCCCCCAGTGGCAAAAGAACAGGTTAGGGACTATTTAGAAAAGCTGGACATGTACAAGTCTATAGGGCCAGATGCAGATGTGATTGCAGAGCCGCTGGCCATTATCTTTGAAACATTGTGGCAATCAGGAGAAGTCCTGGATGATTGGAAAAGGGCAAATATAGTGCCCATCCTTAAGAAAGAGAAGAAGGAAGATCAGGGAACTACAGACTGGTCAGCCTCACCTCGGTCCCATTTCTAAGCATTTGGAGGTAAAAACGGTATTTAGAAGCAGTCAACATGGATTCACCAAAGGCAAGTCATGCCTGACCAATTTGATTGCCTTCTTTGATGAGATGACTGGCTCTCTGGGTGTGGAGAGAGCAGTGGGCATGATATACCTTGAGTTTAGTGAAACTTTTGATACAGACTCCCACAACATTCTTGCAAACAAGCAAAATAAATATGTGCTGGATGAATGGACTGTAAGGTGGATAGAAAACTGGCTGGACCATTAGCCTCCAAGTGTAATAATCAACAGCTCAATATCTAGTTGGCAGCTGGTATCAACTGGAGTGCCCCAGGGGTCAGTCCTAGGGCTGGTTTTGTTCAGTGTCTTCCTAGATAGGCAGATAGGAAGATAGAAAGGAGTGCACCCTCAGCACGTCTGCAAAAGACACCAAGCTGGAGGGAGTAGTAGGTTCACTGGAGTGTAGAGCTGGGATTCAGAGAGACCTCAACAAATTGGAGGATTGGACCAGAAGAAATCTCATGAGGTTCAACAAGGACAAGTGCAAAGTCCTGCGCTTAGGATAGAACAACCCCATGCACTAGTACAAGTTGGGGGCCTACTGGCTAAGCAGGAGCTATGCAGAAAAGGACCTGGGTGTTACCGTGGATAATAAGCTGAATATGAGCCAACAATGTACCCTTGTTGCTAAGAAGGCTAATTGTATACTACACTATATTTGTAGGAGTGTTGCCAGTAGGTCAAGGGAAGTTATTATTTCTGTCTATTCAGTACTGGTGAGGCCACATCTGTGTCCAGTTTTGGGCTCCCCACTACAGAAAGCATGTAGACAAATTAGAGAGAGTCTGGCAGAGGGCAAAGAAAATGGTTAGGGGCTGGGGCACATGACTTATGAGGAGGGGCTGAGGGAACAGGGCTTATTTAGTCTGTGGAAGAGAAGACTGTGGGGGTTTTAACAGAGTCCTTCAGCTACCTCAAGGGGAGTTCAAAGAGAATGGAGCTAGGACTGTTCTCAGTGCTGGCAGATGCCAGAACAAGGAGCAATGGTCTCAAGCTGCAGCAAGGGAAGTTTAGGTTAGATATTAGGAAAACTTTCTTACTAGAAGGGTAGCAAAACACTGGAACAGATTACCTAGAGAGGTTGTGGAATCTCCATCCTTGGAGGTTTTTAAGACCCAGGCAGACAAAGCCTTGGTTAGGATCATATAGTTGGGGATAGTCCTACTTTGAGCAGGGATTTGGACTCAATGACCTGCTGAGATCCCTTCCAACCTTAATTTTCTATGGTTCTATGATGAAAGGAAAACATATTTTGCATGTGTGTATGTTTGTGTTTAATTATAATCTAAGATACAAATTAAAATAATAAATAAGCTAATATTATCATTTAAATTTGACATCTAAATAATTTGAAAAAAGAAAAAGCCAGGAATGATAGAACCTGATTTGTTGAATAACACGGGTAACAAGCTAAATGGACTTGTCTGAACATTTTTCATTTCATTTGTATGGAGAGCTTTTATTTTACTTTGGTTAGGCAATTCTTGCTACTGGTATGCAACATGTATCACATTGAAGAACACAGATCATGCACTGATCCTCAACAGACTGCTGCAGTAGTCCTTTAACTCTCAAGCCAGCCTCCTTAGGAAAAGAGGTGTTTATAAATACAGTACGGTGAATGCTGCACATTATATATAAGGAGCAAAAGATTTTCCATACTAGATCAGATTACTAGTGTTAGTAGGAAATGAATGATGCTTCACATGAAGAAAAAGAGGACAGGCCAGTGGTTGTAACAACAGCTAGTCATTAGGACTTAGAATAACCAAGATGAGTTCCTGTTCTGTCATAGATTTCCTGTGTAACCCTGGGCAATTCACTCAGCCTCAGTTCCCCACTCTTGAAATGGAGATAAACTGTACTACTGCCTTAACTCTCAGAGTCACTGTCAAGATAAATACATTAAAGACTGGTATGCTCATATACTATGGGACCGATAACCATTTATGCTTGATAGATAGATATACACAATGTGCCTGATCTATTATGCTACAAAATCTCTTGGGAGAAATTGCACCTGCAGGATATCGAGCAGAAAAATCAATAACCTCTTACTCAATAATTCAGTCAAATCCATTACATTGATTTGTCACCATTGTCTGCAGTGGTGGGGTCATTGTGACAACATTTTCAATATAATCAAGACAATATTGTTTTTCAAAAACTAAACTTGATCCACAAGAAGTAGCAAATGGTTGTAGGGGAAAAGTGTCACATGGATTTACCTGCGCCCATTATGAGCCCTGGTGCAGTATCCTTGGTATGGACTGTTCCTGACACATATGGATTGTCTGCCCAGCGGAGATGGAGGTGAAGATGGCAGTCAGGCTTTACAGATAAGAGGAAGAAGAAAGTATTTAACAAGCTGATAACAGCAGTCCCACTATTCTGGTGACTAAAGCATGATCAGAAAATAGCATTCAGTAACAGCTGTCCTTCTGAAAAGAGGAATGACTGCACTTCACACAGCAAAAGTCTAGAATGAAAAAATTAGGCTGCTGTATCTAGCAAGAACCTGTTGTACAGACTATAAATGTCTCAGTGGCCTCAAAAATAAGATCTGAAATCCATAAATGACCCAGAACTTACAGTATAAAATAACTTGTGATTGAGTCACTAACTGGAGACTCTGAGCAGGGATTGAGGTAGTAATAAAAGCAGTAAAGATTTACTTGTTATTGTTTGTTGGTCATCACCATCCCAGGGCTGCCTATATAAACAGATAAAAAATAACTAGATTCCAGATTAGATTTAGATTTGTTTGTACTAAAACAACTTCTGATGGGACAATAAAATAATTTGAAAATATTTTCAAATGACATTGTTTAATCATCTCTCTGACTAATTACCTACTGATTTCTAGTCTTTCTGCAGTGGTATTTGAAGCTTAATAATTGTTTCCAATGAAAAGGATGGATGCATAGCCAATGACTTCACCAGGAGCAAGAGGAGGTCACAGGTGAGGAATTGGAGCCCAGTCCAAAGCCCACTGAAGTCAATGGGAGTATTTCTACTGGGCTTTATATCAAGTCCTATTCACTTTTCTAAAAGGAGTTCTTTCACACCAACACAAGACTTCTGGGTGCCTACACACGTGTGGGGACGCTGCTCCGACGTGCTGCACATGGAAGCAGATTCAAATAATCCCTTCCAGCAGATTGAGTCTGATGGAGTATGATAATTAGTGAGCTCCAGCAGCTTCCTCGTTTCATGTATTCAGTGTCCCTGTGCTTCAAAATGGTGGCAGGGGCACTTTAACTAAAGCTTGTCAAATGAGTTTTAGTTAAAGCACCCCTGCCGCCATTTGGAAGTAATGGGAACGGGATGCTGTGGGCGCTTTAATTAGAGCAGTTCTCGGAGCCCCATGCCCAGAGCATGTGTAAAGACGCCCTTTGTTTCTACTATACAGTAGAGAATAAAGAGAAGCCTATCCTACTGTCTTGCTTCATGACTGAGGGCATTTATTATGAAACACAATTCAGAGATCTAAGAGTCTGATGGTGCAGAGACCCAGACACAAACAACCTGCTTGTTAGTGCAGCTTGAACAATAAAATGTAATGTAATGTGTAACTAGAACAAGTAAACAAATTGCAATAACATCAGCTAACAGAAACAAAAAGCTTTTGACTGGCTATTACACATGTATTTCTAAGCCAATGCGCAAACCCCTCCCTATATTATAAGGACAATATTGTTTTAAGGTGAAACAGAATTCATGATAGAAAAAGAAAAGACATTTGTGTATTAAACTGAACTAGTCTTCATTACCAAACAAGTTCCTTGGAGTAATGGAAAAATAACATTAAATAAATGATAGGCTTGACTGGGGCTGTGTGTAAGGCATCTTAGAGCAAATCTGTCTCATGTGAGTAATGTTAAGTCTTAAAATAAGAAAATGCAAGGCGCAGACATTTTTCCTATTCAAGCTACATCTGAATTTGAGCCAGTAATTCACATAACCACTGTAAAAGTTATGAGACTGGTACAAAAGAGGAAAATTTAAGCTCTGCGTGGGGTATTTGAGATTACTTAACTACTCAATTGAAAGGAACCACTTACAGGTTTGCAGTTGGTTGGTTTACCATTCATATCAGTGATTGGAGGTTTCAGATAGTCCCAGTCACGGCCTTTGTTATAGCTTATCAGAGTTGCCACTTTTCCATCAATTTTCTGATTAGCCAAAAACACTCCTTTAACACCTCTGACCTACAACAAAAATTAATACAATTAATGACTAACATGAAAACATTCCTTCCTTCCTGGTTTAGAGATTCCTTTGTTTCTTAAAACTGAATATACCAGAGACTTTCTCTGATTAGGAAAAAATACAGTATGTAAAAAAAAAAAAGAATATGAAGCCGTTTACAATTTTGCGTTCTGGCTGTATTTTAAAATACATTTTTGGTTCTCTAGAGTATAACAGGAGTATCGACACTGTTGAGAAATACAATTTCTACCGCTTCTTTTACAAATTATGTTATTTATTGAACGTGAGTGTTGCAATTTCTGATCATACTTCTGAAGATTTTAACATGCAAGCTACTCCAGGTCTCAATTTTGTGAACCACTTAAGCAACCTGAGTTTAACTCAGAAGCAAGGCATATTTTTGTGTTTACGAGTAATCCAGCTGCTATCTCTATCAGATTATTCCTGTATCCCATTAGTCTATTAGATTACTCATATCAAGATTATTTTTGAGTTGCGCTACTTAGGTTTAATTCATTTAACTTCTGGGTGTTCACCTGAGATAAAATCATCAAGCTACAGTCCTCCAGTATCCCAGGAAGCACTGCTCCCAGGTGAACTAGCTACCATCCAAGACTGGTTAACCTTAACAAATATTAACATTCCTTAGAATTAGCACCTGCTAACTCTAAAGTGTAATCTCACCCCAAAATATACCAGCTATATGGAACAAGGCCTTAGTATGTTTGTCTATCACTTACTTAATTCAAAGTTCAGCATAACTTCAATTGACTGTAATTTAAAAACCTGATCCTGCACTAGTGCATGTATTGTTTACTATCATTACGAGTCCTGTTAACTGAACTAGTGTCTTATATTTCCCAGTGTAAATTTTTTGTTGCCTTTGGTTTTTTTTTTGCTTATTTCCACTATACCAAAGGCCAGATCCTCAGCTGGTGTAAATTGGTGTAGAACTACTAAACTGAGGACACAGCACCATTCATTCTTTTTCTTATTATATCTATATTTGATTTAGAAATGTTTACTTTGAACAGCATTTGTATCAGTTAATAGCTTGGGCTCAGCCCTATAGCCTTCAAACACCCTGGGCTTTTTAAATAATATTTGTAGATTAGTACCTATGAAGTGCCTGGTAGTACTAAACTCAACTTGCACTGGTTAGGGTTTGTGTGGTCCAGTCTTACTCATGAACTCCTCCTGACAGGACTTTGTCTATACCATTACCTACACTAATAGTACTAGATACATTTTCAGCATTCAAATGATAAAAAACAACAATGCACATATCATAAGTCATAGCTCCAAACTCTCAAGTTTATTCAAGTTGCTTCAAACCTGTTTCAAGAGATATTAAATGACTGAACTGAAGGCCTTCAAGGCCTTTTTCTCCCAATTAATAAAGCTCAATAGAAAAAATATAATTTGAAAAAGACCCATGGAACCCTACCTTTCTATTGGGCACTTTTCTATGATTCTATAAAAATCATTCTGTATTACAGTAATGAGACATAGAAGAGCATCTTCACAGCCATTTATAAACACTCTGACATTTGCTCACCACTCAGCTACACCAATTTTATGTCACTGGACCTCCATAGTAGTGAGTCACACTCATTATCTTCATTCTTCTCCTGTGGTTACTGTCTGCACTGTATGCTTTCTAATATTTTTAGTGCTGTTGTAGAGGCAAAAAAAAAAAACAATGCAACTTCAGCCCTTAAATGTAATGTAACTGCTTTATTCTAGTCAACTCAGTATAACATCTGTGCAATCAGTGCAGTGCAGCATCCATTGTCTGTGGGGAAGACTGGGTATTTTCACTGGTAAAACTATGGTTACTTAAAGGTCCAACACAACACGATGACCAAGTAAAGGATGTTGTAAAAGCAACTTGGTAGTTCTGAATTGTTCTGTCCTTCTACATTGATTTCTCTGTTATTACAGACATGCGTATGTATGTCTTTCTTCCTCTCTATCCCTCTACATGTATTGTTGTATATATGTGTGTGCTTGTCACTCTAGCGCGTAGTATGTTCATTGTGTTCTCTCTCAAACTGTGTGGTTCTCTGCTTAACTATCATTATGCAGGAGAACTTTGGGGTATTTTTTATGTTGGGTTTTGTATTTCACTTGCAAAGAGATAATTTAAAATAGAGTGACATTACTTGCTAGGCAAGTACCTATCTAGTACATGTAAGGGTGGCGTTACCTTTAAAATATTCTAAAGGCACTTAAAATGGGAGTGTCCAGGTATTAAAAGGTATGAATCTGTGCTAACTACCCTCTAAGTGTATATGCAGACATTACACTTTAGATCGACCAAACTAAGGTTAGGTCAATCTGTGGGCCTAACTGTACTGATGTTTGGGGAAGTTAGATCAGGCCAAAAATGACCAGCCCAGTCTAACTTAGTTCACCTGAGAGGTGCATTATGTTAGATCAGACATGGGCTAGCTCAATCTACTGAATGTCCTTATATGTTCGGAGAGCAGCCTTAGGGATGGGAAAACCCAACCACTCACCCCAGACCCAGGGATGCATTTTTCCTACCCCTCCACCCCTGGGCCATTTTTTGCTCCCCAACCCTCCCACCCTCAGACAGACAGCCTCCTTGCAGACCCACTGACCCCCACCTCCACTGCAGACCTGCCAATCACTCCCACTGGACTTGCCAAACCCTCCGATGGACATGCTAGCCCACCTTGACTTAGATCATGTTCCTGGCATGGCTCCCTGCACAAGTGGATGTCTGCACAAGCAGGACCCAATCTACAATCACGTGGCTTAAAGAGGAAAGGGCTGCCTAGTGCTGCGTACTGCTAGATCATTGGGACATGCCCCTTCCCTGGGGACCATGCTGTCACCACAGTTAAACCCTAGAGGTTCTGTTCTAGGAACGGAGCCACTGGGCAGTGAGACCATGGAGACCAGTGAGACCAGGAGCTGTTGGGTCAGGAGAGAGGATTAACCCCCTTGCAGCTGGCCACAATGACACCACCTCACAGCAGTGGCATCTCCCCACAAAAATAGGATAACAAGGGGACTCAGGCCACTGCTCTGTAAAGCCAAAGCTTCCAGACCCCTGCCTCCATTCTAGTGCCCTGGGCTTATGCTGCAGCTGCCTATTATACAAGGCTATGCAATGCCAAATGCACAACCCTTCTTAGTCTACTACACATTTATAAAAAAACAGCAGCACTTAGTGTGGGATACCTGGCAGCAAATTTTTCTCAGTGAATAGTAATAAACCAAAAAAAAATCCAATTTTATCTCTTTACTAATAGTAACAAACAGAATAAAAATGAACAAGGAACAACAAATTAAAATCTTAGTAAGAAAACATTAAAAAGCAAAATATATACATATATGCAGTATTAGGACTGTCAATAATGGTTAATGTGCATGATTAACGTGATAATTTGTTTTTGCCTCAATTTTTTTCACGTTAGTTAATCGCTGCTAGTGCTGGCGGAAAAGCAACTCCTCTCCCCTCACTGCTGTATACACACACACACACACACACACACACACACACACACACACACACACGTATGTCCTGGGAGCAGACTCAGCAGCTGGATGCAGGTAAGTGTATGGGGGGCTAGGAGTCAGGGGTTGGAAGGCCAGGTCTTGGGGCCAGTCCAGGGTTTGTATATATGTGTGTACATCCAAAGATATTTATAATAAATTAGGATTCTATTATTGTTTAACTGTGCAATTAAAATTGTGATTAATTGCAATTTTTTTTAAATCAACAGCCCTTTTATATACACACACACACACACACACACACACACACACACACATATATATATATATATATATATATATATATATATATAGTATTGCTCCCTGAAAGCAAATATACTGCTAACCATGCTAACGAACTTCACTGTCCCTGATACTTCTCATATTTTGAGTCTGGTAAGTGACAAATTGAATCCACTTTCTTTGAAGCCCCTGGATGGATCCAACATGCTTGTGTCACTTCTTCCTCCCAGCTGGTGCTCAGTTCAGGACACACACCTCTCTTTACCAGCAAGAGCCAAAGATCACACAGCTCACACTGATCAACCAATGTCTCAATAGGACAGTCCATTTCAGTCCATCAGACCTTTTCCTTTTTCAGGGAGTTCCCTTCTATTACTCCCCTCAGGTACACCCAACCTGGCCTCCAGCCACCACCATTTACCCTCTGAGAATGCTCAAGAGATTCTCACTGACCTTCCCAAAATGGACACATTCTGCTAAGTTCCCTTCTACAATACAAGGAGGGTTACACATTACACTGCTTTTAGGTATGTTACTGCACAATGCACTTGTATTTAAATCATTTCAATCATAAATCAAGCAGTTATTATTTACATGTAGGAAGCTCAACAACAGCCTGGGGCAGGAGCTGTGAGGGAATGATGACCACTGTAAATTGTGGGGGCAGGAGGGTCATGAGTGAGGGAAAAGGAAGTCTTACATGTCCAGGCTACTGCTGTAGTAGCATCAGTTTTGGCAGCAGTAGACCCATAGGTGGGCTCCCTGGGAGTTGATCCTGGTGCCCCATTTACTTCCCTCCCTCCAGATACATACATACTAGGTGAAGGGCTGCCCCTACTCTGGCAAAGGCTCCCAGAGCAGGGCGGGGAGCACCACTTTATTTCTCTCCCCCCCTGCCCAAATATACTGCTTAGTGAGGCGTTACACTGCCCTGGACCTATGGAGGTGAGGGATTCAGGCACCTCCTCATTTGAGCACCTGGAGCTCATGCCTCGTTCACCCCACCCTATTTACACTATGGATTATTTGATTTACAGGCAAGAAGACAACAGAGACAGTGGGTGCGTCTATATGTGCATATTTACTGCACAGTAACTTAAATTACCGCGCAGTATGGGCATGCGTCTACACATGCACAACAGTACTGTACAGTAACTGTGGTGACTTACACCGACTTGAGCATAAATTTGATACCGATTAGTTACTGTGCAGTAACACATGTATAGAT